GAACGTGTGATATGTCATCAGATAAGAGACAAGATATTCAGACCACAGAATCAACTGTGACATTATGGCTTTATAGGGCCTAATGGACAGGGATTGGCCTTAAGAGTCAGCAGGGAAAGCCAGACAGGATGGTAGAGCAGCATGCCTGGCACCCTTGAATTACAGACCTCAGTCCTCTTGGTCTCCAGTGGAACCAGACCCTGGTAGTACAGAAGGGCAGGCAGCAAACCCTATAGGCAGACAGTCCCAAATCAAGAAACACCTCCATAGACAGCTCTCAATTAACAACAGAAACCAGACCAGAGATTTTGGGTACTTTGGGCTAAAGGTCAATGGTACCTCTGTGGAGGAAAAGAGTTCTGGATATACAAAAGATTAGAACCATTATCTCTGTGGTACTAGGAGTCCCACATATTGTCTGGGAGCTTATGAAACACTGAGAAATTGGAAGCATGTACTCACCCTCCACCAAATTAAGTGCAAGTGATCCCCACTATACCACTTAACGGGATAAACAATGGATATGATGGTAAGTGAATGGCTTTTCCTTCAGTCCACTATTTTCTGCCTGTGTAAGCACCATTATTCTTCACATTTCAAGGTGACATTTGACAGATGGGGAAACCAAGTCAGTTCAGAGACCTCCTGTTCTATTTCTTACTATTTATTTATTTAACCAAGGTGCTACAATTCAGTAGCTCATTGCATAGTCAGGATCATGAAGGCAATTCATTAAGACTTCATGGACCACAAACCTCATCTCCTTGCCTGGCCCACAGCAGTGAATATGTATCAGCTCTCAACCCCTTCTGTGGGAAACACAACCTTGCTAGGTTGCTCCATCTTAATATTTCATGTCAAGCAGCTACGGGAAAGCTCCCTTGAGAATGAACTGTGCTGCGACCAGCTCATGGCCCTTCATCCTTCAGTGACTCTTTCACAAGATGGAAGGCAACCGCAAGGGCAGTGGCTGCTGCTGCTGCTGCCATCCTCAGTTGTTCCTACTTAGCCTTACTAAGGCTCATAGAAAGAAACTTACAAGAGCTGGCATATGCGGAATCAGACCATTGGCCATCTGTTCTACGCTGTCAAGTTGGAACCAAATTATAGTGACCTTAATAAGGTGTTCAAGGTAAGCGAGATATTAAAGGTTTCACTAGTTCCACTCCCCCAGTGAGTCTCCATGGCCAAGTGGGGATTTGAACCCTGTTCTCCTGAGTCCTCATCTGTCACCCTAGCCACTACACCACACTGGCCATCTAGCTCCTCCATAATGACTAGCAGTGCATCTCCAGGGTTTCAGACAAAGATCTTTCCCAGCCTTAATGAGAGATGCCAGAGACTAAACACGAGACTCCTCCCTGCAAAGCATGCGCTTTACCCATTAGGCTATCTTCTGAGCTGAATCCTAATAACAAACATCTTGCCTGTTTTTTTAAAAAAACCTATCAGCTGCTGGGCAGCAGCCCGTGTGAAAAAGGTTATGACTGTGAGTTAGCAGAGTGATGTAGCTGCCTAAAAGTCTAATGTAACCTTGGACAGCATCCACGGTAAGTGCAACATACCATTAGGCTATCTTCTGAGCTGAATCCTAATAACAAACATCTTGCCTGTTTTTTTAAAAAAACCTATCAGCTGCTGGGCAGCAGCCCGTGTGAAAAAGGTTATGACTGTGAGTTAGCAGAGTGATGTAGCTGCCTAAAAGTCTAATGTAACCTTGGACAGCATCAACGGTAAGTGCAACATAGTCTACTTCATGTTTGCCACTCTGGAGTATGGCATCTAGTACTGGGTGCCACATTCTGAGAAAGGTACAGTGGTGTCCCGCTTGATGACAATAATACATTCCAGCAAAATCGCTGTTAAGCGAAATCGTCAAGCGGAAAAAAATCCCCATTGGAATGCATTGAAAACCGGTCAATGCGTTCCAATGGGGGAAATACCTGCTCGTCCAGTGAATATTGCCCATAGAGAAGCGCTGATCAGCTATTCTAATTCAGTGTAATGTGAAGCTTCCATCCGGAAATCAGACATTTTGAGAAGGGAGGGAAGCCATTTTGCGGAGCCGGAAAAAACATTGTTTTGCAAACAAACGGTTCGCGGAGCAGGCTCCTAATCAATGTAAAGCGGATTTCCCCCATTTGAAACATTGTTTTGCGATTGCTATTGTCATCATCAAGCGATTTCGACGTCATGCGGGGTAAGCGTCTAGCGGGGCACCACTGTAATGGCAACTTATGAGCGCACCTGAAGAAGAGCAACCAGGTTGATAAGGATCGAAAAACAAAACTCTGTGAAGAATGGATGGTTGAAAAAGCTGATCTTTTGCCTGAAGAAGACAAGATTAAGGGAAATCAGGATTGGTCTTCTTAAATCATGGCTGTTCCATGTGCTAGGATTAGAACTGACGGGTGGAAATTGCAGGGAAGCATATTTCAGCTGAACATTGGCTTCCATACAGTAAGAGTTGGACATCTCATTCCTCAGGAATGCTGCAGGTACATTTTGCAGAATGGGGCTGGGACTAGATGATCTTTAAGGTCCCTTCCTATCCCATGAGTCTACATATATTCAATAGCACAGAGATCCACCCTATGTACAGTAGAAAGTGCTTTTAGGGCGACATTGGCTGCACCAGAAATAACAACCGTACCCATGCCATTCCAAACTCTATAGTCCTGAAGCATTAGCAATGCTGAGTGTGGTGCACCCTAGGCTTCCCTCAGAAAGCAAACTCCAAATCAGCATCACTCTCGATGAAAAACTAGGAAGACAGTCAAGTTGTTGCCAGCCGGACTCACAGACTGAACACAAGTTTGAAGAGAAACGGTCGAATGTACAAATCTGCTAATGACGTGTTTTAAGACAGCTGCTGGGATAAGGAAAGATGTATGTGTCCCCATGCACTGATTTATTGATCAGGCTCATTAAGAAGAGGCTTTTTCCTCCCGAATAATTCATTAATATGGGCTACCGGATAATGGACTTCACAGATCAATGGGAAAGGCTGCAATCTGAAATATCAGTGTATTTCTTCCTGTTCCTCCAAAAGGTATTGACAAAGAAATAGCAATGCATGCCACAGACTATGCTTCTTGAATGACTAGTGGGGAAAAAGAGTGATCCCTAATCATCTCCCTGTATGGAGGATTCTTCTTTACAGACTATTTGCTTTTTTAAAAAGCACATTGCATCAGGGCTGACCCTTCAAGTACATACTCAAATAAGCCCTTCATCTCAGCATACATGAAGCAATACTTAAAATTCCTCTGAGCATGTGCAGAGTGCCATTCATTTGTGATGAGTATCCACAGACAAGCCAGGCATGTGTCAGATCACCAGAGAGGGCTGACAGATTAAAACTTTGATCCGCCCCTGTGTTATAGAGAAGTCATTCACAGCACAGACTTTGGATGCAGTAAGCTTTGGAGCAGCTACACTTCAAGAACAAAGATCACAACATTGTGTTTGCTGCAACACTTGTGTTTGGTGCAATGGGTGATGCAGTTTACTGGCGCCAGAGAGAATGCTTATACCTAATTACACAAAGTTGCCCTGGTTGTAACCAATTTAAATTGAACCAAGTAACTACCCAAACCTCCATCTTCCATTGCAGCCTACAATGGAAGCCACAGCATCTGCCACGGGTACAGCTTCTTCCACGAGGGACCCTGACTCAGTGCTGCTCAGATACGACCAGATAAGCTAGGCATGGAAGCGAACAGTGTCTTGAGGTGAATGATAGAAGCGACAACAGCAACCTAGCACATTGTCTTTCAGGCGGGACACAAAACCCCAGACTCCAGCAAAGCCACATCCATCTCATACCCAGGCACGCAAGAGAAGGAGGCAAGGCCTGGATCCTGAGCGGAACAATGCCGCCCTGCCTCACAGCACATTGCCTCAGTAGGCTCTCCTTGCTTTCTCCCACATAACTGAATGGCTGCCTTTCACTCCTACCAGAAAAAGGGAAGTACAGTACTGCACTTGGGGACATGCTAAAGAGCGACAAATCTGGGCAAGGGCACAGCAAAACATGGGGCAACATCCAGCAGCTGCAGTTCACTAGCACAGCATTGAAAGCAAGGCATCGTTCTCCTCTCAAGCATTCCCCATTAACCTAAAAAAGGAGGGACAACTATTTCTAAGAACTGGTGGTCATGAGTGGAGGACTCAGATGTGTACATGCAATCAGCAGTACTTACTGCTGCAGCCTCTATCTCCCAAAGTTGCATATGGCTGAAAGAGAAGGGGCAGAAGCAGGCTCTTTCCTGCTTGGAGACTTCCACCCTGTGTCAATCACGCTGGGGAGTGGGGGGGCGGAGGAGAATCTGCCACACGTCAACAAGGGATTACCCTAGATCTGGACGGGATAATCAATCTTCATTTTGCACGGGGATTTAATTTTAGCTCCCTCGTGGCATCCAATTATGATTTAATAAGCCATAATTTAATTAAAATGCTACTCGCTTCTGAAAAGCTGGAAACATGCACACAAAAATTTAATGTAACATTTAAAATGAATCATCTGTCCCTTTGAGAAATTTAGCATCTTCAGAACTAGACCAAAAGTTGACAGTCTTGGTCCCATCTCTTACTGTAACTAAGTGGAAATAATAAAATGGAATGAAAAGAACTTGCATTGTTTCCCCAGTTGCCTCCATTTCACCTGCCCTTTCCCTCTTTGCCCTGCCCTGTCAGATTTTAGACGGTAAGCTTTCTTGGGGCAGGGACTTGATCGTTTACATTTGGTCAGGCACCATGCACACCAACACTGCTATATCAATAACAAAATGCATGCATAATTTGTTTAAGAATAATTTGTACACAATTACTGAGCTGCAGTTCAGAGTTCTTCCTCTCTTCCCGTGGCAAACGTTTGCTCCCCTGCTCTTTCTTAAACTCACCTTTTAGTCCAATGTCATCTGTAGGAAACAACCATTAGGAAGAAGACAGATGGGGCACTGCACTGAGTTGGGCAGATGCCAGGACGGACTCACCTGTACTTGAGCCTCCCTTCTCATCAGATAGCGCATTTTGCCCAGGATGCATTGCTGCAGTTGATCCCATGACATGGCTCTGTCTTCCCGCATCAGTAGCGGAGGACCAAACCTAAAAAGGCAATAGACAACCACACCTTAGAACATCACCACGCTGTGATTACTATTACACAATAGGGTGGGTCCAACGATACCATTTTTCAGCTCTCTCCTCTCTTGGAGACACAAAAGGCTCCTGTGTCTCAATCACTTACTTATCAACAAAAGTACAGACACAGTTTGGACATTTCCCCTTGAACCAGAGCTCTGAAATATGATACACACATATTAATAACATGGCTGTTACATGCCATCAAATCACTACTAACGTACAGTGACGGAGGCATGTGAGATGTTATCTGCTTTCATTTTCCTTCCCAACTAACCACAACCATTTTTACAGAACAAGCTTCAAGGTATAGCCAGTGATTCTTAACTCATTGATCCATGTTGTTTATGCTTTGTTTCCTTTAGCCACTAATCACTGTTGCCGTTTAAAGAACAAAGCATTAAAAGAGAGAATCAAAGACCAAGCACAGATCCAAAAATCTATTGCCAACATAAAATAAACGATGTAATTTTTGATGGAGAATTGCTGCAAGTTATGAAGCCAGCACAGACATTATGTTGCATATCAAATCTCACAACTCAGCACATTCATAATACTGATTAGACTGACATTGCAACTTGCAGTGATTCTTCACCAATGGTTATGCCATGTACAGTATGTTATGCTGGGAACAGGATTTTGCCCCCCCCCAAAAAAACACCCCAAAAACAGACCACTGTTTAACCCAATGGTGGAAATAAGAGACAAGAGTTATTTCCTCCCAGTTCAGATTTGTTTCTTGCATAGAACAAACTAGATCTCACAGGAAGTGGACTGCAGGAGTCCCACTAAATCTTCAAACCTATACTTATATAAATCTGGGGTTCTCTCAGCTTTGGTTTTACTAGGACGAATGCATACCTGCATCTTAAAACATGTATTTTGTCAATTTCTCTTGAACATCAGAAATCAATGGAAGCCTTGTTGATGTTTACCCTGTGTTTTGCAGTAGTTCCTCATTTCCTCCACAAGAACCGGTTCCTCGCTACAAGTGTACCTGTTTGTCCATAACCAACAACTGCTCTTGTGGTCAAAAACCTATCAAATGTTCAGCTGCTTTCTCTCAAAGCAGGGGTCAGCAATACAAGAACATACATCAGCCTGTAGACATTGGATTTTTGAGTGGTAGCATAGGAGATGTGTTACTTCATTATTAACAGCCACCTCCTCTGTCTGTACTATGCTGTATTAATCATCTCACAGTTCAAAATGAGATCTGCCTTGCTCATCACATGTCAAACTGATAATTCAAGCTAGATCATTTGTTTTCAAGGAATATGTCATTATTGGGGGAGGGAGGGTAGAACCTTACTGCAGAGTGTTTCTGCTATATAAAGACAGAAGATTTATATTTTAACATCCTCAGTGGTGCACCACCTTTATTTGCACAGACTCCCTGCTCCCTGGGTTTGCACTGGAAGAACACAAGTGCAATGTATCCAGTTAGCTCTCCTCAGAGCTTGCCTGGCTGCTTTTTCCCAGCAACTGACAGCCTAACAGGGAATGGTGATGATCATGTGGTCACGATTATGCCTTTATGTTTCCTTGACAGGAGTCAGCAGCATGGTAGCTACAGCTTCTATTGCTCCTGGCTATCTATTCCTTTCTTAAACAGGGCTGCGGTTCATGAACATTTATGCCAAGTAAAACTTTGTTGTTTAAACTTCCTCTCTCTATGTTCACAGAGGGTGCAGGCAAAATTCACACCTAAAAAACAGTCCAAAACCAGCAGGAGACGGTTCAGGCATAACAGCGAGTAGTATGCCCTCTGCAGGTGCTCCCACTCTTTTTCATTTGTTTGATGCACCCTGTCCAGTCTCTGTCTCAGACAGGTTTACTCGAGGTTTCTTGGTATAAGTGCAAGAAATGGCTCTGGGGAAACTTTCAACATCACAACTGTGAGACATGGAAGGATAATAACTTATGGAGTCTCTGAAACAGCCCAGAAAAATTTTGCAATTACGTAACCCAAGAGAAGCTTGTTGTTGTTTAGTCATTAAGTTGTGTCCGACTCTTCATGACCCCATGGACCAGAGCACGCCAGGCCCTCCTGTCTTCCACTGCTTCTCGGAGTTGGGTCAAATTCATGTTGGTCGCTTTGGTGACATTGTCCAGCCATCTCGTCCTCTGTCGTCCCCTTCTCCTCTTCCCTTCATACTTTCCTAACATCAGTGTCTTTTTCAGGGAGTCTTCTTTTTGCACAGACTCCCCCTTCATGGATTGCTGCCTTGTCGTAGCAAAGAGGCTAGAGTAAATCAGAGAAGCTATGGGCTATGCCGTGCAGGGCCACCCAAGACGGACAGGTCATAGTGGAGAGTTCCGACTACAGTGGGGTCTCTACTTAAGAACGTCCCTACTTAAGAACAATCCAACTTAAGAACAGCTCCATTTGCTAAATTTTGCTTCTACTTGAGAACAGAAATCCAAGATAAGAACAGGAAAAAAAACCTTTCCTGATCTTTTTTTAACCTTAGGTCATCTTAGGTTAAAAAAAATTCTCCCCCTAGTGGTAGAGTACGTATTCCCCATGACCAGAAACAAAAGGCTAAAAGAGAAGCTTAGGGCACTATAATGAAACGATGCAATGCACATACTTCAAATGATCTGAAGGACATCGTATTCATTCATTCATTCATTCATTCATTCACTCACTCACTCACTCACTCACTCACTCACTTACTTACTTACTTACTTACTTACTTATTGCATTTATATGCTGCCCATCTAGACATAGTCTACTCTGGGCGGCTCACAACATACAAGATAAAAACAATTTAAAATATACACAGTTTTACATAGATAAAAACAAAACGATATAAAATATAATATCGTAGATTTACAATTTTAACAAATTAATTTAAGGCAAACAGTTCCAAGACATCCCTTTCATAATGCCATTTTCATAGGTCTTCTCCATGATAATGCGAAACCTGTTTTCCAGTTGTCCAGAAAATCCTATTTATTATTCACATGTATGGAATACTAATCATTTCCTTGATATACAAAGGAGTATTTCAGGGGTAAACTGGGTAACCCAAAACATTTTTTTGCATTGGTTCCTAATCAAAATTGGTTCTCTGGGAATGTCAACTTTTAAATAAAACTTGCTCAGAGTTTTCCCATAATTAGTCATCCTGACCATGTCTTATCAGATCTTGTACTAAACCATCTAGCATAAGATGGGTGGGCATGAGGAAAGATATTTAACAAATTTGGGCTAAGGCCAGGCATACTTGGGGACTATGCTAATAGACTAAATGGAAAGCTTAATTTTATTTCCACTTCAAAACCAAGATAATTATTTAGCCTGGTCCAGCAGTCTGCGGGAAAGAGGTGGGACAGGCAAGACTTCCAATGTGAAGGATGGCTTTCTTTGGCAAAATAATAATAATGAGACTAAATTAGCAAACATAATCTGTCCCATATATCTGTATTAGAACCAGAAATCTATGTGCATTATTTGTTTATATGCTTTCTTTTCTATGAATAAAGTATTGTGCTTATTTGTTTTGAAAATATTTTCCTCACAGAAAAGAAGAATATAAACATGTTGCTTTGGGGTTTGAGAATCTATCCTTGCATATTTTAATTTGAAATGTTTGATTCCAGACTTTAGAAGGCACTCCAGGCAAGAAAAACTCCAATGGTGGTAAGCATAACTATCAGCCAGGCTGACAGATTATCACTGCAGGCTTCTTTGGTCTGCTTGGGTAACTCACATACTAGGAGTTGCCATGCAAGAAATCATTTTTCCAAACTCTGATCAGAACACCGTAGCTGGATCTTTTTTCTCTGCCACTCCCTGAGCACTACTCTCTCTCTCTCTCTCTCTCTCTCTCTGTGTGTGTGTGTGTGTGTACACACTGTTTACTGAAAAGATATAGTATAAACAGAGAAATAGTTTCGGTCTCTGAAAGAATCAGATTACTAGGAAGCAGGTCATATAGTTCTTGCTCATAAAAAAGCACTTAGGGAAGTGGTGGAAACAGGTTAGGCCTGTCTGGGTAACATGGAAATATTGCTATACAAATTGCCCTCCATAAAACTCAACACCTCACAAGCTCTTTCACAGCCGATGATGGCTTATTAGCTGCTGCAAGCATGCAGAGCGCTACTTAATGACATTTGGGATATGCAATGTGAATTCATTACCTACCTACAGTGCTTTTGCATCCAACAGCCCTCCTGTAAGTTCCTTCTAGCCATCCACTGCTGGCTGGAAAATGAAGCGTAACTTCCCTAGCTCCATCATGAAGGAAAATAGACTTGCTGAGGAAAGGACACTTGGCACAGGCCAAACAGCCCAAGGGGGAAGCAATGGGGCCAGCTCCACAGAGGGCTCCGTGCCTGTTACTTTAGAGTAACTGCACAACCTGACTCTGACAGCAGCACCATTTGCTCTCAGCAATCTGTCATCAAGCGAAGACCTTGCTTGCTTTATCATACCATATCATTAATGCTACTGGATCCAGATGTGGTGCCAAATTACAGAAAGGAAACTACTCTTGGGCCTAGCTGCTGCTTCTCTGATTGTTTCCGGCTTTTCAGCATTGCTGACAAGCCGACTTGGATTAAGAAGATGAAGCAAGAAACAACCTTCCAGTAAAAAGTGCCTTCTCCCATTGTTGAGAGGTCCAAGCCCTCATCCAATCTCAAGGGCCATTCTCTGTCAATCTCAGGGTAAAAGAGTGAGAGCTTGGGCTGTGAGTGAAAACAACCTGGGGCCCACCAGATGTGTTGGGCTACACCTTTCACCAGCCACAGGCACTGCACCAAATTGTACAGTTTGCAAGATTTGTAGCTGACAACAGCCAGAGGAGGGCTCATTGACTACCTCTGCTAAAGAGTAGCAACCTGTATGGTCCCTTGGTTCGCTTAAAAGCTTTACCAGAAGATGAATGTGGTCAAGAAAGGAAGAGAGCATATTATGTATTTACAGATAGCCATCACAGACCATCTCCCATACCCAATGAGTATCGATGGTTCAGGCATGACCTGAAACAAAACAGATCAAAACCCCAAAAAACACTTTTCAGGTAGCTCTACCACCCATTCCACCCACACTTCCCAATCTCTGATGCTGCGAGTGGCCACTCTGAGGAAAGCTCAGAAGTCTTCAACTAGGAACAGGGCCTTTTCAGTGGTGGTCACCTTTTTCTGGCATTCATTATTGGTGGAGGTGTGGCAGACCCATCCTAATGCTTTCTTCTAAACTCTTTGGTGCATAGGAAAAGGTCAAGGGCTGGTTTGTGAAAATACACCAGCTGAGCAAATGTCAGGAAAAGGGACCGTGTCTTGTGGTATTTGAAGGGCTATCGAATTTTATTTGGTATTTGGTACAAGCATTTGTTTACTTTAGTCCACTGCTTCAGAAGAAGACCACAGACTAACATGTCTACCCTTCAGGAAATTTCTACATTCTAGCAAAAGCTCTCTGTTCTTCCAAGACTTACCTCACTGCCTGTTGCCCAGCCCCTGCAACATTACAGACAAGGAGCAGGACTCTGCCTCCACTTCCATGATGCAGGAACTCTGTTGAAATGGCCCCATTGTGGACCAAGCTTTGTGCTTCTGGATCAGAAGAGTTAGGAGAGGACGGGAGGCTTTTGGGACAACCTGGAATAAAAAATGACACAGGTGAGCGAATCCCTTGGCAAGATCTCCCTTACTGGGCATCTTCTTCAGAGACCTTAGAACTTCAACAAAGATTTGGAAAGAAAGATGCTGGGATTGCCAAAGTCAATTATGAGAGGTAAGCAAGTGTCTCCCAGGGCTGTATCCCATGTCGATGTGGTGCTGCATCAGTGCAACAGCAAGGTCTGGGCACTTCCTTGGAAAGGAGAGGTGTGACCCTGTGCAACGTATTTTTGCCACTAGCCTTGACCATGAGGTTATGAAACCTGCTTACATACTGAATCAAGGTGGTTAGGAAGACAGGAAAAGTAGTCCCCATGTGCTGGTCTGTTGGCAAGTGACATTATGTATAAATGGAAGTTCCAAGACTAATGCTAGAGCCATCCAAGTATTTTCATGTTGTGCAAATAAAAATGATTAATTCTGGTCAAAGCTGGGTTCGGGTAAGAGAATGATCAGTTGGGTATTTGAACCCAGACGCTTCAAGAACACAGTCTCTTCCCACAAGAAGCTGACTGAGAGCTTTTTTTCCCTTTTTGTGTGCGGCATTGACATCAGAAGTACTGCATGAATATACAAGAAAAAGGCCCTTTATCAGTCTGGCACTCGTTCAACAGAATGGCCTCCACACAGACAGACATCTGGCCCCACCAATGGCAGCAATACTATTTCAATAACCTGGAATCCCTTGATTTAAGCTATTGCTCTATCAGATATATCATGCCAGTAAAGATGGAGTGAGTGAGAAAGTGATGCATAAATAAAGAAAATGAAGTGATCAAGTAATCAGAATAGCAAAGAAACCAATTTCCCCCAAGAATTCAAGGTCTGCTGCACAAGATTCAACTGCATGGGTGGCCAATACAACAGGATATTCAAAATCAGTTTTGCAAATGTAAATCTGAAAATAATAAGGGATATATGCAACATTATTATTTTTATTCCCAGTAAGAAATATCTCATTCTGTGTACTATGAATCCAGTAATTATCTGAAGAAAATATACAAGTTAGCATTAGAACAACTGGCAAATCTCTTACTTTGAATAAACTAAAGGCACTGGGGGGCAACACATAATATATGTGTGTTATGTGCTATCATATTAGAAGTAAATTATAGCAACCCTAATAAAGTTTCAAAGTGAAATATTTAAGGAATAGAAGTTGGGAGTTCAATTCCTCACTGTGCATCCTGCAAGTAGGGCCAGCCTGGGAAGCTTTGGGCGAGATGCATAGTCCCAGGGCACCGCCACCACCACTGAGTCTACCTAGAAAACCCTGAAATTGATGGCACACGTTTATTATCATTGTTTTCCAGCTTTCCTCCTCCATTAGTTTCCATACCAAGGAATTCAAACCCAGGTCTTCTGAGTCCTCAGTCTACCCACTACACCGCATGGGGTACCAATATATAATATATGGCTTCCCAATTCTCTATTGTTAAAATTACTCAGCTTCACTAAATAAAGGTCACTAAACTTCACATGCTTGCATACGGACAGTTCTGAGTGATGCCTATCAAAAGATACTGCGCAGCCATTCTATCGTTTCCTCCTCAGCTTTCTTTTTTCCAAAAGAAAAAAAGAAAAGCAGGAAAGGTGCTAGGAAAACACAGCAATTACAACTGAGAAGGGACTCTCTCTGGACTGTTAATATCTGTAAAAGAAACAAGGTATCCAAGAAAAGTCTGATCTGGAAGACTCTGACATAACTCGGTGTATACTCTAATTTTTAAAAATTAAATAAATAAATAAATAAATAAATAAAGTCATGCCTCACTGGACGATTACCCTGCTGTACAACAAATCCGCATTACGTTGACATTTTTGCAATCGCTTTTGCGATCACAAAATGATGTTTTAAATGGGCGATTTTCATTTGACGATGATCGGTCCCGTTTTGGGAACTGATTTTTCGCTTTACGACGATCAGCGAACAGCTGATCGTCGCGTTTCAAAATGGCCGCCAGCTTTCAAATGACCCCCCCACTGTTTTCTACGATAGATTCTTCGCTATACAGGCACTGAAAATGGCCACCGTATGGAGGATCTTCGCTGGACGGTGAGATTTTCAGCTCATTGGAACTTATTAAACGGGTTTTCAATGCATTTCAATGGGATTTATTCGTTTCGTTTGACGATGTTTTCGCTCTATAGCGATTTTGCTGGAACGAATTAACATTGTCAAGTGAGGCATCACTGTACAAGAAAACACATAATGAAAAATATCAGATAATTTCAGATTTTCTTTTAAAATGAAACAGAGGGTCAAACTGTATACACTTGTACATTAGTATTTGGAAGATGTGCACCCTCAAATGGTGGAAGATATCTTGCCATAGCATGTGATTTTCCTCACTTCCGTATCTTGCATTTAGAGTGTTTTATTTTTATGATCATGACCACTGGAAGGTAAACGCAGGCTCAAATTGCAAGTCTGGCTGATGAGGTATATATCTCTCAGAAATCTTGCTGCTGGATAGAATATGTATTAGTCAGAGGTTTCACAAACTACAGCCTACTTCATCAGTCACGAGTCTTTACCCCTGGATATTTTTACATATCAAATGGAAATTCACAAAATACAAAATATCATGCCTCACAAGGGAGGTTTGGCTAGAGGATCCAAAATGATCCCTTCCAACTTGATGACTGTGCAAGGAAGACTGGAGACCAGCACTCCCAATAAACTGGAGAAGTAACATATGTGGCCATACGTTCTGAGGCATAACCCAGTTCAGTCTATACCCCAATTAGCAGCTCGTTCTCTCCATCTCCCCAGATTTGTGTTACATAATTCATCAAAACCATTTGGCAACAGGGTTGTCCAAAAGCAAGGTTGTTGTGAACTCCTCCTCCCAGCTCTCTGCATGCTGTCTTCTCTGATGTTTTTCAATTAAGGCAACTTGTTTAGCCTGGAGAGGCAATAAATCACTGCCACTACACTTAGTCTCTAGACTGATTCCTGATTTTGCATATACTGTACAAGATTAATTCTTCCCAAAATACAGCTATGAGGATAGTCTTCATGAGAGCCCAAGGCTCAGTTCATCCCACCCCAATCTCCTTTTGACAGCTGGCTTCTTTTCCAAACTGCCCCTGCTGAAGCCCCAGCTATGCAGAATCCAGACCCAGACAAAAAATATCTCAAACTTTGCAGCTGAAGGTGTTTTCAGTGGGGATGATCATGAAGGACATTTCTGGCCTGTTTACAAAAGGAACAGAAAGAAGTGGGAAAATACTTTTCTAGTCGGTAGTGCTTCAGGCTGGAGATGAGGGTTGCATGTCTGAACGCTTCCTTCTACATCTGCCAATGGAGTAAGCAATCCTGTGCCTTCCAGATGTTCTAGACTATGATTTCTATAAACCTAGTGCAATATGACCAATATATAATAATATAATTTATAATCTCAGAACTGTACAGCTGGAAGGGACCCTATGGATCATCATGTCCAGCCCCTCTCAGGGAGGCATAGTGGGGAATGGAACTCCCAACATCTGGCTCCACGGCCAGATGACTAAACCACTGAGTACAAAGCTAGTGATTTGTAGCTTAATATATCAGGGGGGCACCAGACCGTCCACACCTGAATAAAATCCATATCCTTTGCATTTTAATTCTCTGTGTAGAAGGAATGTTTTGGTAGGTAGCCCTGGGAGACCCTTAGACAGAACCCGGCTTGCTAGGGAGGGGGGGGGGCAATGTGTCTATGTAGAAGGAATGTTTTGGTAGGTAGCCCTGGGAGACCCTTAGACAGAACCCAGCTTGCTAGGGAGGGGGGGCAATGTTTTATTTGCATAATAATGTTGTAAGATGCCCAAAGAGTGTTTCAGCACTATGGGGTGTATATAAGTCAAAGCAACAACAACTGTATTGAATAAACAACCTAGAGGATGTAAGATTTTGCCTTGGGTCCTTTTTAAGAAGGTAGGATAAAATATTTTACATACATACATACATACATACATACATACATACATACATACATAACATACATACATACATACATACATACATACATACATACATACACACACACACACACACACACACACACACACACACACATGTACGTACGTACGTACGTACATACATACATACATACATACATACATACAGGTTGAATTTACCTGTGATACAAATCTTACAGATATTCAGCACCTTGTTTTACTTCCCAGATGAATGCTGAAGGCATTTTTATTCTGAATGGCATTGTTATAACTGATTTATTGTTATTTTAATTAATAATCCAATCTTTGCTGTTTTTAATGCTGCAATTTAATTTTTTTTAAAAAGCGAGTGTCTTTTAATCTTTGACATGCACTATCTTGACTTTTGTTTTAAGCAGGATATAAATAACAAGAAAACCACAGACAGACAACTGTTGAATTTGAAGGTGAATGTTTGCTGCTCAGGGAGCCCAGCTAATGGGTTGGCATAGCAATGCTGTGAATAAACACATGGATGACTGCCGGGATATATTTACTGTGGTGATAGTAAGGCCCATGAAGCCTGTCACAACTGAATGCAGCAGTCTCTTCTATGGAGCTTCAGATGGAATTAGCAACAGATCTAGCATTGCTCTCCTCTTGTATCTCTGGACAAATGAGGGGACAGCTGCTCTTAAAGGCAGTCATAACTGTATGGACGTTAATATGGCTGGCCATTGTCCTGTCTCATCCTGCTTATTGATTCTGCATCACCTACAAAAGGCAACCAGATGAGGATTTACTAAGGAATGTGTTTTATCTCCAAAACACTCTAGTGCAGAATGTGAGATTAAGAGCAAAGCAACCCCTCATGCTAGAAGCTTCTTGCCCCTCATAGCTAATCCTCCTCACTCTTTCTTTAGAATAAGGGCCTCCCAGCTTGGTTCAAATCCTGTAGATTTATTTCTCTCGCCCAGACTTCCAGCATCCCATTTTAAGAGGCACAGACCTCCCTCCTTCTCTCTGCTTGTTTCTTTGTCCCTCACAAGCTTCTG